AGACCCCAGCTCAGCTGATAAACATTTCCTTACTCCCTTAATAGACCCCACCTCCATAAATGAATCATTAAGAAAGACTAGCTATGCCAGTAAGTATTCATGGTATAAATAAGAATTCCAAACTGATTCATGTTTCACACTATATCTGAACTAAAGTGAAAAAGTAAAACGAAAGTCTGGGACACAGACATACCTAGAAGAAAGACAACAGGGACAACAGATCCTTGATTTGTATTATGAACCTAGTTGGAATTTGCTAACAGGAGTGGAGGATAACTGTGGGATGCTCCCTTGAACACCAGGACCAGAGGGGTCTTGTTCACTATTTTCTGAATGACTAAGGTGGAGACCACGGGGCTGCACAGTGTTGCTTCTGCTACAAATGGAATATGGATGGAATATAGGTGATACTTTAATGTGGGACACCTAGGGGAGAAATAAGCTTCTGTGGGGCTCAGAAACTAATGGAAATTCCATTAAATTGTTAAAAACACAAAAGGACCAGGGTATAGCTCAGCAGCACAAGCACCTGCCTGGCAAGCACAAGGTCCTGAGTTCAATTCCCGGTACCAATAAACATACATACATACATACATACGTACATACAAACAAAAAAAAGAATCAGTATTCTATTCTAAATCATTAAGTTAACCTGGAGACAAATGTCCTTTACCTCCATAATGGAAATTTGGTGTCTGGAAACTCGTTTTGGTGATTACCTACCAACATAAATCAACTAAGCTTTTTTTTAAGTTTTTTAATTTTTTAAGACAGGGTCTCACTATGTAGTGCAAGCCAGCCTTGAACTCACTACGTAGCCCAGGCTGGCCTCAGCCTCCTGAATGCTAGGATTATAGATGGGTGCTGCCACACCTGGCTCAACTAAACCTGAGACTCTAAAGCAGCACTGAAAGGATTGGACGATGATTAGCAACACAAATGACTTCTAAAATGTCAATCTTCTATTATAGTAGTTTCTTTCTAAAAAATGGTAAAAAAAAAAAAGTATCAATTGTTGGCATATACTTTAAAGTGGTATTAAAGAGCCAAACATAAAACAACAGAAGAAGGCTTGACAAATAAGGAAAAAAAGGGACTTACTGTCTCCTCTGTCCACACCTTTTCCTACTTACTGTCTCCTCTGTCCACACCTTTTCCTACCCTTCTTTTTTCTACCTCTCTGGGCTTGGCAGAGGTCAGGCTGCTGGTGATGAACAGAAAGGAAAAAGAGGAGCAGTAGGACAGAAGAGTACAAGACATACCCTCCTGGGATTCTTAAGAATTAATCTAGGAAGGAATCATTAATAAACTACATACTGAGAGAGCAAAAATCACAAGTGATTCAACTGTGTTTTATCATCTTTCTGCCACAACAACCACAAAAACTCTCTTCTTCCGGTCTTTTTTTAAAAACTTACTCTCCCACGTCGACAGATGTTTTTGTCTGTAAGAATGTGCACCTCAACTGTATTTTGAAACACCATCCACCATATTATGAATAAATTCCAAAATGTTCATCAAAGTCTAGAATCTTTTAGTTTATTGATTTCCTCATTTAAATATAATCTTGGAGCTAATGATGCTTAATTGAAATAATCATTATCCATAACCACTCATAAGTACATGTCTGAAATGAAGGAATGGAGACCATGGTTCTCTGAAAAGCAGTGTCATGAAAAGCAAGGTGATTAGAAATCGATCACAAGGAACAACACAAAAAACAATGGAAGATCCATATTCTTCAAGTTTCCGTTTTTTGAGGGTATTCTTCTATGTTGGAGGTTCTGATTTAGAGGAATATCATCAAACTGCACAATCATCTGAAGTTTCTCAAGAAGAAATTTTTCTCCCCTGTAGTGAGCTGGTAAATCTTAGTCATGAGGGCACCAGAAGAGAAAAAAGGATTTAAAACAAATACCTGTTCCCTGCTTCTTTTTCAGGAGCGATGCACAGGCAGCGTTGGTGGCCATGTCGAAGGCCAGTTTCTTCTCGTTGTTCCGTAGGTCTGTTCTAGCACCTTCCCAGCACAAGAAAGTTAGGTGTTTTAATGACTACAAGAACAGCCAATCCTCTTTTGACCAAGACTAATCACTTTGGCAAAAGTATCGAGAGAACAACTCTGGGTCCAGTGTATTTGGGCATCTCTCATCCGGGAGCTCAGTGCTACACCTATGATAATTCTACTCCACTGAAATACTGCCTTTCCCTCCAGTCCCTACAGGATTGCAAGTGGACTTCTCAGCCACCTCACTGTCCCCTCGGTAAGGCCTAAATCAGTACTTACTCTCTCCTGGCTACAAGTGTCTTGGTAAGAGTTTGTGGGCTTAAATTCAACATACCCTTTGCCTTTTCTGCTCAAGGGTCTTTAGAAAAGACCATTTGGATTGAGCTTCAAAGGATTAACATTTTATATCTTTACATTTACTTTCATGCAAGATAGCAGAAATTGAAACACAATAAAGCAAGAAGATAATTCACTATCCCTCAATTCATTGTTCCCAAACCCTCTTCTACCCACTTTGTCTCTGCACCTAAAATTGTAACAGAATTGTTAATACATTTGCATGGTTAATACTGAGAAACACGCTCAACAAAACATAACTTCCATTTTATTCTCCATCTTTGCCCTTCTCAGGAGGTAACTATATAACAAGCGGGCTTGAGCTCTTATTACCCTCATGTACGTCAGTGCATTTATCTACACATATCAACACATACACAAAATCATGTTGCATGCTAACATAAAAGCACAATCATCTCTTGAGTTCCTCTATATCACTGCTAACAGAAAGACAAGGTGAGCCACATGTAAAATTTAAAAATTTCCAGTGAACACATTTGGAAAACATGAAATTAATTTTAATACTGTTTTATTTAACCTAATATATGTGGAATGTTATTACTTCAGTATGTAGTCATATCAAATTACTGGGATATTTTAATTTTTTCAATGAATCTTCAAAACCCAGCGTGCATTTTATACTTACAACACATCTCAGTTCAAACAGCCTCACTTCAAGGGCTCAGCAGCACAAACAGCTAACGCTGCCACATTAGAGTACACAGCCTCAGTATAACCTTTAGGGGGCTCAACAGCGGTCCTCACAGTGTCTGATCTTTTAGAACAGAAGCTTACATCATCAACATCCTTAAAATTGAAAAATGTTCCCTTTCACACACCCCACAACACTAGCTCCAAGGATCCCTAATGATGGTGACTCCACAACCTGTGACCTGGAAACCCCACTACATTACAGCCTTCTGGGCCAAAGTGCAGTGGGGTGAAATGGGTGGTCCTCTGTAAAGGTTCATTAATATTTACATGACAAAAGTGGATGGGTAGTCAGGCCTTAATATCCTTGTTCCCTCTGAATTATATATAAACAAGATCAAGGTGTCTGCTCAGCTCAAAGCAAGACATGGCAGTCATAGCACTCTTTTCTGATCTACCTCAACTTTTCTGACAACAGGACCTTCGTATTTCCCCTGGCAGCTTTCTAAGACAAAAATCTACCCCTTACTTGTATAAACATACCCTTTCCTTCTAAGTCCCTATAATCCAGTGGATATACACAGTAAGTTCTTTCTAAAAGTAAATATGTAACTGCAAAGGTTTTAATTTATAAAAACTGATGTAAGCAAACCCTAGTAATGTCACCCGACCCTAACAATTTTGTGACACAGACAAAACAGAGGCTTAAAAACGTCAGTTTCAAAATAAGGATGCCATTATTCTTCCTACTATTTCAAATAGAATGGTTTTTCAGGGTGAACAGAGACCAGACAAATTCAGGACAAACTTTACCTTTTGCCAGAAGCAACTGGACAATATCTGCATAACCCTTCCAGGCAGCAGCATGCAAAGCTGTGTCCCCCAACTTGTTCTACAGTGACAAAAAAGTAAAGGAGAAATTTAAAAACAGGATGAGCTGAATGTGGACACGAAGTTTAATCTACCGAAACCTAAAATGAGAACAAAGTTACAGAGCCATACAGAAATCCAAGTGGGACAGAAAGGAGACTCACATGTTGAGAGATGAGTCATTTTGGGGAGATGGGGTGGGATGGACGGGCAGAAACTAGTACAGCAGAGCACAGGCTGAATGGAAACCAGGGGGAGGCAAGCAGGTCTGTCCTCACAGAAACCTAGCAAGGATGAGGAATCCGATTCCTGAAGACACAGGGGCAGGAACGAGGTACAGGGTGAAAACAGGGGTACTGTCTGAAAGTGTATTAGGACGTAATTAGAACCCCAGGACCTCCCTGCTGCAGGTGACCCAGCAAAGATGGCAGGATTACCCTGTTGAGGAAACAGCCAGATAGCTTCCAAGCTGCGGACACAGGTGTGAAGTACAGCCCCATGGCAGGAGTGGGTGGAATTTAAATATGCATGTGGGTGTTGTCCAGCAAAACAGCCAAAACCTCACCACTTCACCCAGTGAAGAAACCCACCAGCCAGCAAGCCCACACATAGCTGCCAGTCACACTTACAAACGAATGGATGGATCAAGACACTGGGTACTGCAGGGGAGCCGACAAGAGATGAGGAAAGACCAAAACAAGAAAATAAATGGCTCTCAGAGGGAAAAGATAACACAATGAATGACAGAAACATTTTAAAGACTGTAATTAAAATATCAAAGTTGTAAGCGGAGGATACTGTACCATGAAACAGGAAAAGGATGCTACTTGAAAGTAGCAGAGTAAAATAAGAGCTTCTGGTCAAAAGAATTCCAAACTAGACACCTAGACTGCTCCCCACTGGTAGAGATCACTGTACAGTACCTCTCCTTGAGAGTGCGTGAGGCCAGAGAATATAAGTATCCACTCCCATAACTGAGTGGCCATCCTCCTTAAGGCCTTAACCAGAATCATGCAAATATCCGTGCCATGCCTTAACTTCCAGAAATGCTTGCCAAATAAACTTCTTTAGAAAGCAGCCCACCTGGGGCTGGGGATTTAGCTCAACGGCACAGTGCCTGCCTGGCAAGCACAAGGTTGTGAGTTCGATTCCTGGTACCGGAAAAAAAAACGAAAAACAACAGAAAGCAGGCCACCTTGGGTATTGTATTACAGTAACAAAGAACTCACTAATTCAGGAGTCATAATAGTATCAGACCTCTGCACAGCAACCCTGGAAACAAGAATGCCATGGAGTGATGTTTTCAAAATTCTGAGGGAAATTATGTTCAGCCTAGAACTGTGATCAGCTACACATAATCAACCACAAATTGCTCCTTCTCAGGAATCTACATGAAGACTGGCAAAGGGAAGACAGAGGATCCAGAAAAGTAAAGACACAGACAGCAGAGAGAAAGGAGATTCCCAGAAAAATAGCGAGGAAACCAAACTGCTCAGACTGGAGAGTGAGGATGTGGGCTGCAGGAAGTGTGAGTCCAGGGAGAAAAAAAGTCATTGTTTATCTTACACATTTTAGAACAGTACATTAAGAGAGTATAAAACAGTAGAACACTTAGCAATATCAAAAAAAAATACTCAAAAGTCAATAAATAATTAAGCACAGAAACAAAAGTTACACAAACAATGACTACTACTTAGACAGTGGTAATAATATAAACATCTACTAATATAACCAAAGCTATGAGAAAATAATTAGAAGAACAGGAGAAAAGGCTAGGTGTTAGAGTGCTAGAAGATGAAAATCAGGGCAGACAACAAGTGTAGATCTTCACCAACCAAATGAGAAGCCAAATTACATATGAAGATGCTGTATGGCAAGATAGCTCCATAATCCTATTACTAACACAAAAGTAGGTACACATTATGGCTCATGTCTAGATGTCCCCTCAAAGCCTCACACAGTCATAGGTGGGGCTTTTTCAGGAGGATGGATCTAGAGTGTGTGGTGCTGAGATTGATTCATGGTGCAATGCTAGGATCAAGGGCACTACGATTAAGGATAGTGGATGAGTGATACCCATCCTAAGTAACCTGGGTAAAATATAAGGTATACGAAGAGCTGTGGGCATCTCTTGCTTGCTTTGCTACCTTCTGCCTGCCATGAACTGTTTCTCCTCTGCAATGCCTGTCTGCCACACCACCCTGCCTTGGAGCCAGCCGATTATGGACTGAAACCTCTACAAACAGTGAGCTAAATAAATCTTTACTCCTTTTATTTTGGGTGTAGGGTATTTTGTCTCAGCAACATGAGAAAAGTAAGTAAGACAACACAAGAAAGAACTGAATGCTGAAAATAATAAATTGGACTGGGGTAGGTATTTTGTGCTTTTAAAAGCCAGGATGGTGGCACACACCTGTAATCTCAGCACTCGGGAGGCTGAGGCAGGACTGCTGCAAGTTTGAGGCCAGTTTGGGCTACATAGTGAGTTCAAGGCTAGTGTGAACCACACAGCCAGATGTTATCTCAAAAAAACCAATAATAGTAATAATAATAATAACAACAATAACAATTATAGTTTTAATACAATAAGAATTTTGAAAAACTATGTGCTTAAGGACTGGGGCCATGGTTCAGTGGTAGAGTGATTTTCTAACGTGTAAGATCCTGGGTTCTACCACCAGCACCCCAAAATGAAAGACAAATATCTACTGCTTAAAGTATTCTCACTGAAACATTTTGCATGTTCATAAGCTGCACTGTACCAAAGAAAAAAGGCAGGTATGTTCAATGATTTCCTCCTACTAAGCAGTCTTACCTGTTGGTTCAGTTCAATATTTGGCTGAGTAAATAGCACTTCCACTATATCTGAAATTCAAATGGAAAAGATATCTCTTAATAAAAAGTAAAAGCCTGATAAAACTAGGCATGATAATTTTAAAAGAGGATTCTTTAGAAGGACCTTCAAGAAAAATCTCATAACAAATTTCTCAGAATTTATCTATAAAAAAAAAAACCTAAGAATCTGGAAAAGAGAATTATTTCAGGAAAAAAATTTTTCAGACAGTGACTCTTTCATTTTCATATGACATCTACTAAACGAATATTTTTACACTTGCTATACCACCACGCTTAGTATTCACATAACTAACTTAGGTTTATTGGCTGAAAAGAAATAGGCTTTTCTAGGAAGAGTCACAGATTTTTTCCCTTGCTATGCCATTTAATTCACTGGCTCTTAGTTTCTTATGGTTGGGCTTATTTTTTACATGGTAAGGAAAGGTAGAAAGTGGCAGATTTTTGACCTGGATGAAATACATCTAGAAGTTCAATGTGCCATTACTGATTGTAACAGAAAAAGTATCAACTGAATCACAAACTTAAGCAGATGCTTTCCCTTGACACTGGCAGTTTGCATTCAATTTAAAATGCAAATCACAAAACAGTACCATGGCAAAAGTGAAGCTAGAGAAGCCAAATTAGTGTTTTCCTCTTGTAAGATCAGAGAGTGGGTTTGCCTTTCTATTACTGTTATTTTCTAGTAATCCATCTAAGCCTGAGAGAGGAAAGGAAGTTTCCGGCCTTTCCAGTGAGATCTTCATACAGTGAAGCAGACCTTCCACCTAGGGTCTGCGGAGCCTCTCGAACAGGCTTTTGGCGAATATTCTGAAGGATTTGAAAAGAACAGCTAACAATATTTTGTCACTTTTGTAAATCTGGCTCCCTTAGGTGGAACAATGTACAATGACAAACAATACGTCATACCTTTGTGACCCCCGTGACAAGCCCAGTACAAGGCAGTGCTTCCAGCTTTGTCCAGGCCATTAACACCCACTCGGTTGTCCAGACACTCCCTCAGCCAGCTCAAGTTGCCTGCAGAGGTTTGACATTTAAAAAAACGTAAGAAAAAGGCTTTTATTCTGTTTCAGTTTTAAATCAATTTTATCCTTCATAAATTTCCATTTCCAATGGATTAATCAGCAGGTCTAAAATTAAGACCTACCCACTAATGCATTTATTACGGTACATTTTGACTCCCAGCTCATTAATGGAAAGCATTAACATCAATTTTTAATGGTAGGGTGATGGGAAGGGTTGCCTAAATGGGCCCATTTCAGGTACTTATATATATTGATACAGACATATTGTCTTTGTGAAATTCGAGAACTTAGGAGGAAAAAGTCAAACCTAAATTTTTACACAGAAACTATTCCTACTCATATTTAAGTGCATTTTCAGCTCTTGCAAGAGAAACACTAATGACCTACTCAAAGCTACCTCTGCAGTATGTGATACTATTAAAGTCTTCAAGCTAATGCTCCAAGTAATTTACAAAGAATGTTTTAAGTGTCAGTTTAACAATGTTAAACAAATTAATTTCCTTTTGTACATTCACATTTCAAAAAGATCAAAAACAGAATAAAATGGAGTTCATTGAGGTTTTACTCCAGCAGGGTAAAACCTGGATCTCCAGCGGGTTTCCCAACAGCAGCACCACTGGCCTTCGCGTTGGAGATGCTGTCCTGGCACCTGTCCTACACAAGGTGGCTTTCCAGCACTCCAGCCTGTACCTCAAAAGTGGCAGCCTGGACACAGTCACTATGTCTCCAGATACCGCCAAATGTGCCAGGACTAACGGGGAGGGATCACTGCTAGTTGAGAACCACTGATCTACTGGAGAAAGCCCAAAATAAGGTGAAGACTAATCCCTCTCGAGCTCCCTCTCCTTGCAAAACTTCCCCACACCAACACTCTCCTAAATTCTGCGCCCCAAGATGCCTATACCTTCTTGCCCCCCAGCTACTCACACTGGCCACTACAGCTGTTTACTTTAACCGCTTCATTTGCTCCATTTCTTTTTCTCTCCCTCTAATACTAGAGATGGAACCCAGCGCCTTCACACTGAGCTATACCCGCAGCAGTTTTTGAATTTCTTATGTTAAAACAGGTTCTCACCTAGTTGCTCAACTGCGCAGGGTCCCAGAATGCTAGGATTACAGGTGTACACCATCCTACACCTATTTTAATGACCTGTAACACGTATCTCTCCCAGGTCTGACTCTGAGCCTTGGACAGTACAGACCATGTCTCTCCACTTGCCTATTCCCACCATGGAGCACAGGGTAGGTAAAATACTCAGAAGTGTTTGCTGACTGCATTTTAAAATTAAAATCACACCCTCCTAGGGTGACAAATTCAGTGCAAAGACTGTCTAGTGGGAGGGTACAGAAGCGAATCCTCTGGGATGATAGAAATGTTCTGGATCTTAATCTGGATGTTAGTTCTATGGGTGTATGTATTTGTCAAAACTCAGGAAACTGTATCAAGCTTGCAGATTTTCCTGGATTACATCCCTTGAGCAAAATAAATCACACCTACCTCTTTTGGCAGCTTCATGCAGTGGATTGTCAATAGATTCTGCCTGCTCAGCCACTAGGTTGAAAAGAAAAAGTACAAGGCCAATGTTGAGAACTCCCAGGTGATTTGCTGAAGCCACTCACGCCCCATCGCCCTCCCAGATTCACGACTGCCAAGGCCTTCGACAAGACAGCTTTCCTTACTTAGCATGGATTAAAAAATAACATAAATAAAGTTGATAGTGCCTACTTTAAGAGGAGCTCAATTATTTGTTAACTGAAATCAAATCAAACAGTAACACAGTAACACATAATTAACTAGAAGTATAAACAAAAGAGCAATTAATTGGAAATATAAACAAAACCAAGCAGATTCATGACCCGTATTTCATGAACAAACCTACTCACAAAAATGCAAAAGAAAGCAGCCCACATCCAAATTCTGATTCCCTTGTGTGTGCACAAGTAGGGGTGGCAGAAAGTTTTCCTTCCTATGTTCAGAAATGACAAGTGGAAGCTGTGTTCACCATGGTCTTAGAATGAGTAGGAGTACAAAAGGAAGCCTGTGGTTCAAGGGCTTTGGGACCACCGCCTCCTACCACTAAAGGGCTGTAACAGGACACAGACCAAAGCAACAGAAGCACAATTTCTACTCATGATGTCTATGATCAGGACTGGAAATGGAGGGGTCAGGGAGACAGCTCAGCAGCACAGCGCCTGCCTGGCAAGCACAAGGTCCTGAGTTTGATTCCTGGTACCCAAAAAAAAAAAAAAAAAAGAAATCGTCCCTTCCCAAGACTGGAAGTGGAGTGCACTTGTAAAGATGTTTGCGATTTCAAAGGTTTAGGAGTGTAGAAATGTTTAAAGTGTTTTGTTTTTTAGTTCTGTTAAAGAACAGTACCACCCTAGACCAGAGTGAGTAGGACCCCTGTGCAGGGCCCAGCACATAGCCCTCACCCCTACACGCTCCCTTGATATCTGTTACACCCTTCTCTAGTGCTTAAAATTGGGGCCTGGTGCCAACTTTATCAGTCCAATGATTCATATAACGCTAAAGTCTAAAAGGGTCCTGGATGTGACCTGATGAATCCAACCCTTCCATTAAGCAGATGAGGACAATGAATCCCAGAGGTAGCACTTAAATGGTCTTAACTAAGTAGCACTTCGTTAATGAGAAGTGGAAGGATTAAATCCCAGAACCTTCTTTACCAATCCCGTGCTCTTTGGGTTTTGCTGATTTCTACTTACAGATTTTTATGAGTTGTTTTTCCCTTTTCCCACTAGAAGCAGCTTCACGGCAGGAGCCACACGTCAGTACTCAAGCCCCCTAAACTGCTATGACAAGCATTTCAGGACTTCCCACCTCACCATGGATTAACAGAGTGGGATTTCTTCATTCCAAATGAAAGGGTTAGTCTCGGAAACAATCTGTGAGATTTAGGTTAACAGCATTGAAAAATATATATTAAGAGCTGAATAAACTGAAACCATAAGCATTTCCCTGCAAACCTTGGATGTTTTCAAGAATGCTACAATGCATTCTCTTAAACCAAGGAGTCGACTCAAGCACATCTGGTGTTTATGGCCACTTTATTAACACAAGGCTCGAGGAGTGGGAAATGTCCTAGACTGGCAATGACTCCTTTGATTTCCCAGCCCCAGCTGCAGGCAGAAAGGCCTCAAGAACTAGATAACGAAATGAACACAATGTAGCTAAAGAAAGCCACTCCAACGACACTTACCATAGTTACTTGGAATTAGTCCCGTCCTGCCTTTGGAGGTTCCTTTCCACCAATTGCTATCACTCTGATGAAAGAAGATTTAAATTAAGTAGTGCCAAATCCCATTTGCATTCAATCACTTGCAAGACATCTGGCTCACAGGGTGTACCTGTTCTACAAAACACCCATCAGCCTTGCCTACATTTATCTATCAAGTCCCTCACACCCTGGCTTGAGATCTCTATTTCCCTTACCACTAAATTACAAGTATCCAAGCAGCTGCCTGTAACAAATCATATACACTTCATCACAGAGCCTCTACAGTCAAACAAATCAGATACTATGAAACAGAAGGAAAATATTAAATAATTTTGACTGCTTAGAGGACTGCTTTTGTCTAGCGTGCAATTTCTCATATGTTGAGGTACTTATGTTTTGAGGGGTTTTCTAAAGATTTCTTTATTTTGCCTTAATTTGCCATGGGCAAATTTTATCACAGAAAAATTTAAACCTATACAAAAGTAGAAATGAACAATATAATAACTACAAGAATCATCTACTCCCAGCAAATAATGTTTCATATATAACCTCTAACCAGAAACTCCTCCCACTCTGAGATTATTTTTAAATCAATTCCAGCTATTTCATCTGTAAAACTATCAATATGTAACAATGAAAGGATTTTTTATCAAGGACAACTGTAATGCATTATCACAGCTCACAATTTTCTTGATAATAATTCCTTAATATTATCAAATGTGCATAATCAAATTTCCCAGTTGCCCCATAATGTGGGATCCTAAATAGAGAACCATACAATACCTCTCTGCTTATGTCTCTTTTAGTCACAGATTTCCCTTCTATTCTTTTCTAACCTCTTACAATATGTTTGTGGAAGAAACCCATTTGTTCTGTAGAGTTCTAGCAGTCTGGATTTTGCCTGCTGCCTATCTGTGCTATCAGTAAACATCTTCCTCTGTTCCCTGTATCGCCTGTCAATTGGCAGGTAGTTCTAGAGACTTAATTAGAATTCCAGCTTCACATTTTTTGGTGAGGCTGTTTCACAGGTAGCACTGATTTCTTCCATCAGGATTCAGGCCTTCCATCAGGATTCAGACATATAATGGCCTCTGTTTTGGTAATGTTAGTTACCAATGATGATCCCTCCCTCGAGCCATTATTTCATAGGGTTGCAGAGTGGGGACCTCTGTCACTCTTTTTTCATTTAAATAACTAGCATATCTCTTTAAAGAGAAATTCTCCCTCATCAACTCTCAGGTTACCCACAGAAAAGTGCAGAAAAATGTGATTCCTTCCCTATTGGTTGTCAGAATAAAAAGTTGGTTCCCTAGCACTCTGTGACACTGACCGATGGTGTTGGTTCTGAAGTAACATTAGGACTCTTGATGTGCTGCAATCCTTGGGAGCTGTTGCACTAACTGATGCTCAAATTTTCCCTTCAAGACCCCTGGAAGAGTCCCTTGTTAGCTCCTGAGTCCTTCTAGTGTGACCCTCTTAGTCCTTGGGAGTTTCTTCTTTTCTAATAATGAACTTTCTGGGTTTATTTTGTACCTTTGCTGCTCCACATCTGGTAACAGACATTTCTCAAAGGGACCTTATTTCTTTTAATGTGAATTTATATAATTTGGTTGGTCATTTTTTAGAGTCTGAAGACAGAGTATGGAAGATTTTTGCTTGTTTTAAGAAAAAAAAATACAACATATCCAAATCAAATGAAGGACTACTGAGTTTCTACCCAACCTCACTGACCCCACATCTGCACCTCTTGATCACATGCTGAACACCTGGTGCCAACATCACTGATCTACTGCTCTAATGACACATGTGCTCCCCACCCCAATAATCACACAACAATCTCAGCAACAGCAACAACATTTATCCAACTAGATCTCGATTTAGAAGTATGCCTTTTCTATTCCTGGCAGCTTTTTTTTGTCCTTTATAGATCTTGTACGAGTAATGATTAGACAAACTGCTGAAATTTAAAGTCATTTGGACCACTTTCTCTCTGTGTCTTCCCAATTACTAAGATATTATTAAGGTCATCTGATTTGTTCTGCTTTTAATTTTTATGAATTTTCTACTACATAAGTTTATACCTATTTGAAAGTCAAATCTTCAAAACAAAGTATAATTTTCTTCAAAAGTCTATTTCTATGTTCCCATCTACCCTACTGCCTTTCCTCTGTTTTTTTTTTTTTAATTTTGATTCACCTTTTCACTCTTTATTTTAAATCATGGAGAACAGAGTTACAGGCACATTCTCTAACCTTTTCTTAAGTAAGTCAAGGCGAACCATATTCATTTTTCACCTCACTGGTACTCACTACTTCATGCTCTCCACAACAGAACAGAGATATTCATCCCTCCTTCATACAACTGCGTAACATTCTGTATTTGGACAACCAAAGGCCAGGCAACTATCTTCCTAGTGATGAACAAAAGGGCTATTTTCAATCTCATGCCACTACAAATTCTGCTAAAATTCTGTATATGTATTTCTGTGTACATACACATCTAAATAACTTACAATGTTGTAAGTATTTAAAATAGTGTCGTATATCTTTGGTATACAAATAGTATTATAAAATGTTACCTGGACTTACCATGTCAGTAATGTAGATAATATCACCTTCCTCGAAGTACAATTCATCTGGCTTTAAAAAAAAAAAAAAAAGAAAAGTTTGACTCCATGTGATTTTTCATAAATTAGAATATGATTTCTTTAACTATGTAATTCCAAATTCTAAAGTAGGGCCGGGGATAAAGCTCAGTGGCAAATCACCTGCCTGGCAAATTCTAAAGTATCCTTATACACAATGCAGAATTTTTTTAAACTGAGGATGGAACCCAGTGCTTTCACACTAAGCTACATCCCCAGCCTTTTTGTTCATTGTTTCTATTTTTTATTCTGAGAAAGGGTCTTGCCAAGTCTCTAAGCTGCAGAAGCTCAGCTCAAACTTTCAGTCCTCCTGCCTCAGCCTCTCAGAGTGCTGGGAATACAGGCATACAGCACATACGCCTGTGTGTACACCACCACATCCAACTAAATTATATAAACCACATAACTAGAGGCTGGGGGTTTAGCTCAGCAGCACAGCACCTGCCTGGCAAGCGCAAGGTCGTGAGTTCGATTCCCGGTACCAGAAAAAAAAAACCAACAACAACAACAAAAAAAACACATAACGAAACACTACAGACAAAGTAACTCATGGGTAGAGAGCTAAACTGCTCCCATAATGAACTTCAAGGAATTAAATAAATAACAAAGAAGTGTTCTTTACACAAATGTATTTTATATTCTTATACAACAAAAATAAGGCATTTTAATATCAAAATAGAATCCTAATAAAAAATTCTCCTTACAGAAATTGCAAAAGATGACATATAGTTATTCCTAAAAGGATAAATATCTAGACTGTCATGAAAAATAACAACATCTTCTATTTGCTTATTTTGAGAAAACCATTACCCTCCCTCGATATGAAGCAGTTCCTCAGACTTTTCAGAGCTGCTAAGATACTCTCCTGGGTTAACTAAGTACACAGTCCACAAGAGCTCTGGCCTGTATCAACTAAATGTCCTATGACTTCTCTGACGAAAACGAGCACTTTAACTCTGCACCTTCTCCCCATCTGTAGATATCATCTACCATGGTTTTTTGAGTAAACAGGGAAATACCTAGTGAAAGTGAATTTAGATACCTGGAGATGTTCACATCATCAGGCTGAGTGGAAAATGTAGGGCACAAAATTTCACACAGGATAAGAGCACAATTATGCATAAAATATGCACAGGAAATTTTCTATCATGAGCAAGTATTACTTTGATGATATCAGTGGGAAAAATACTTTTTAAAAAGGTTTGATACTTCAGATTATAGCTACTATTCCATGCAAATCAAAATCATACTAGTGAAACAAATTATTTCATCCACTCATTTTTCCCTTTCTCAGTAGCAGGGTAGGCCATACACATATGACTTTGTATGATAAGTTAGCTCAATGCTGATCCATACTAGTATTATAATGATTTCCCTCTGAACATAAATGAAGGCTATATCAACGATATGCTTTAAGCAACCACAGTACGTGAATACTTAGATGTAAGATACATTCGATTACAAAAGTTAGTAAATGATGATTAGTAATACTATCCCAAATGACTGAGTTCTTTTCAAACACAAGTTCCTAAACCTTCTGTTCTATTTACATTTTGATGTAGGGACCAGACTTACACATAGCATAAGGTACACAAAATTAGTTAATGAGCTGAGTTTTAATTTTATTTGAAATAAATATTTAGGAAAAAATAAAAGCCTTGAAGATTTTCTCTGATCTGTTTCTAAAATGCTTTGATGATCAATGACCAATATTATTAACAACATAGGATGTATGTAGAAAATGATTAGGGAGACAAATTATTTCCTTTGGTATTTGCTGAAAACTCCATCACTCTCAGAGAAGCTGGAAACAGGACTCTCAGCACACAGCCTCCCCACTGGACAAAGTAGTTACCCCATGACGGAAAGGCCAGACCTTCTGGCAATTTTAACACACTCAGACTCCGCAAGGTTTAAGGCATGGGGAAAAAGGCGGAAGTAGAATGGTGTAAAAAAGAAATCAGAATACATGAGAACTGCAGTTTTCTGCAGGGGCTCTGTATTTCTTGGAGTTTTGTAAGGATGAACTTTTAAAGAGCTCTTCCCATCTTAGAGCTCTCCTGGACCACTAACTCTACACATGCCCCCTTGTGGCTTACAAAGCAGGGTCCCCAACCTAGCCACACAGCAGGAGGTGCACATCCAGGGAGGGAAGCTTCACCTGCGTGTACAGCAGCAGCTTCGCAGCAGCTTCCCATCACCATGCATACCACCATGACTACACTAAACACCACCGAAAAAGTCACTTGAAAATGATTAATATTGTGTTACACAAATTTTACCCAATTTTTAAAAATAAAACCAAACCCAGTTAAAAGTCCTAGCGTCTTTTCAGCTATGCTTGTCCTTTGTGGTCTGGTAAAGTGCATCATTTGGAAAATGCCACTAAGTCCAGTCATTTTGATACTGCTCTGTGCTGATTCGGTTTTTAAATTACTGACCTCTGTGCAACAGTGGTGCCTGCCACAAGCCACCGTTAGGTCAGGCTTGTTTTTTAGCTGAGGCAACGACAGGCAGTCGATTCCTGTCAGGTAGAAAAAGGCTTCTCTCTTTTTAATCCTAAGAAATGACAGTGCACAGTTTATTCTCTTAGTCAATAGTTCCCAGGGGTACAATCCCACTACCTGCAAAATAATTTCCTCCAAAACCTAGGAAATATTTTTCTAATCTGGCTAAGAAAGTGGTCTACCAAATCCTTCAGCCTGCTGAAGGCAGTACAAGGTAATTTCATAATTATAAAATCACATTTTTGCCTACAGTATTCATGCTATCCATTAAGAAACCACCAGCAGGACACTTGGCATAAATCGTTCAGTGAGGACCTACTTTTAAATTCCTGGCATCATATTCATGGAACAGAAAAGGGAAAATACTGCGTCAGTGAAGTAAGCACGTCTCTATTTCCAGTTCATTCCTTGGTTTGTAACCACATTCCTCTTTCCTCTCTCCTTGAAGAACCACAAGGTAGGAGGATAAGTAAGCTGTAGAACATTATATCGCTGAGTACAAGCCAGTAACCTATTCCCGTTCCTAGTCCACATGTTCTTGGTAACATGATTCCCAGGGCATTACTTTTGTTGGTATATGCTATGTTGCCTGTAAAACTTAGAAAAACTGTGATAACCTTTTAAAATTTCAGATCTAACCAACTAAAACTCCAGAAACTAAAATAAATAAATAAATAAATTCTTTACAGTACTCACTCTGTGCCAGGTACTTGTCTGGGCATTCACAATGTTAATTTAATCCTCACCAACACTATGATGTGGTGCAATTCTTACTGCCATCAGCTAGATAAGAAGCATCCACAAGACCAAATGGTAGGTGCTTGACAGACGTGGTCTCAATCTACAACAGTCAGGACTACAGAGCTCCCATTCCTAACCTCCACCAACGCTTTCTCACACAGAAGCACTAGGCGTAGCCATTACTGATCATCATGTGTCATGACCAGGTTATACGCTGCCCTTGGAAATTATGTCAGTCCTCACCCTCTCTCTACCCCAATAAAGCAGTACAACAAAACTGGCAGCAGCAACTTCAACCTGCACAGTGCATTTGACCTCATTTAGTCCTTACAACTACTCACTAGGCAGGGCTGGGTCATGGGGATAATCTCTATTTCACAACTAGACCCAGCAAAGTTTTAAAAAAAAATTGTACAGATCACAATGGGGAGCCGGGCTGGGCTCTGACCTCAGCCTCTGGATTCCTGTTCTTGAGCTCCTTCCTCCATTCATGGTGCTGGAAAACCCAGCAGGGTCCAGCAAACCTTACGTGCAGGGCACAGCTAGGCAAGGAGGCAAGGCAAGGTAGGGCAGGGCAGGGTAGGGCAGGGCAGGGCAATGTCCTGCCTGTTTCTCTTTGGAAAGCAGTAATCCTTCAGCCGGGGGAGACACTGTTCTCTCTACACTGATGTGTCATTACACTGGTCTTTCCAGTTCAATTCCTCTTTAGAACACTTTATTGGACTGTGGTTTGGGAGAAAAATAAGAACCAAACAGGTCTGGGTGATGGCAGGACTTCCCCTTAAGCAAGACAGGTGAGAAATGGGCTGGCAAGAACTGGGACCCACAAACTGCCTCATGTTCTACCTCTGCGGTGGATCACCTAGACAGCTGGGCATGGCTGTTGCTATCTCCCAGGGTTGGAATCACAGCTAAAAAGTGGATCTAGGCTTCCGCAGGGCACTGTACCTGTTCACAAAGATCCTTCAGCACCCTGCTCAGTCCTTAGATATGGCCTGCTGCCCATGATTTTGAGGAGACCAACCCAGTCTGGGACGGGCCATGCTACGTCTGTCTACTCACAGAAGATGGCCGCTGGTCACTGAGGAGAAAGACCAGGGAAGCTCTAGCATTGTCCAACAGAAATTCTCACTCAGAAACAAATGTAAATGAACTGGCTCTGGGACAATATTAAAAATTTAACAAGCAGTACAACATGGGCATGTCACAGGTGAGGAAGGCCTAGGGGAGCTGGAAGCTACCTGTTCCAGACCCCTTCAACACCTGGACTGAAGGAGGGAGAAGAGGGAGGAGTGCAGGGAATGGGCTTTGGGCTGGGCAACACTGCCTAAGACCCACGGGGCCAGAAATAGTAAAAGAATTGTCACACTTTAAATGTACACTCTTTTAAAAAAAAACCTAATACATTAAATGTGTCTTTCCTCCTGTATAATCAATAACTAAGGTTTCTTTAAGCACTGGAAAAACTCCATCTCAGAAGATTATAGATAAATTAATCAATATATTAACCCATCAAAAATGTTTGTGAATATCGATTAATATAGAAACTCATGGCGGCATATGCAGTGATCCCAGCCCTCAGGGAGCTGAGGCAGGACTGCTGCAAGTTTGAGGTCAGCCTGGCCTACAAAGTGAGTTCAAGGCCAGCCTGAGCTATGTCAAGACCCCAGTGAAAAAAAAAAAGAAAAGAAACTCCCTCTTAGAGGAAAAATTACTCCTCCGTAATAATAGTTAGACATCTCCTTACTTAAATCCTAAGAGTTTATTATTGTTACTCTCACTCTATAGATGAGAACACTGAGACAAGAAGTTAGGGATCTTGCTCCATATTACATAGCTGCTATCAAGGCTGAGCTAGTTCGAAAGCCTAGCGTAGGCGCTGAGCTCCTGCGCTCACCACGCCATGAGGGTGACTGCAATACCCAATGCCAAAGTTCAGAGGTGGAAGAAGTACCCCACTTCCGACCAGAGTGGGCAGAGAAGTGCTTGTAGAAGAGGAAGTAGGTCATTTTGAGCTTAGGCACCATGGTCCAGAAATGGTTCAGAGATGAGTTCTACTGTGGGTCAGACTTTGCTTGTACAGTCCAAGAAGAGGAAGAAACAGAGCACAGTGCGGCTGGAAAGGGGAGGCTGGGTTATACTGAGGACCACATCTGTAGTTAAATAAGGACTGACACGGGCGGGGGCACCAAAAGCCACATTTCAGGAACATCAGTTAGCAGAAAATGCAGATGTAGTGGAGAAGCTGGCTCTGTACATTGGTAGTGAATGAAGCACAAGATCAGGAGGAGCCAAGAGAGGAAGAGGAAGCCAGTGAGAAAGGACAAAGGTGATGCCAGTAAAGGACACTGAGGGGAGTGTGCAGAAACAGTCAGCACTCACCTCAAGTCTCAAAACTCAGCAAATGCAAGTCCCATTCTAGACTGAAGAAGGCGGCAGAGAATAGTCCGCTCACTGAGTGGCCTGGGAGGGCAGCTGATGATATAGGCCCTCCCTACTCTTACCTTCCTCAGGGGACAAGCAATCCAGGAGGCAAGTGAGAAGAATGAGAGGCCTGAGATGATTGTGACCAGGGGTTAAATACTACTTCTGGGCCTTCTGCTTCCCTACCATTTGCTGACACTTACCAGGTGGTAGCTTTCTCCCTGTGTTGAAATACTAACCCCAACACCTCAGAGAATGTGACTGTGCTCCAAGAGAGGATCTTGTAAGTAGTAATTAAGTTAAAATGAGGTTTTTAGGGCAGCCCCAACCAATGTGAATGGCGTCCTTAGAAGGGGCTGTGAGGATGCAGAAACACCAGAGGAGAGACGCCAGGGAGAAGACAGCCACCCACAAGCCACAGACAGGCTGCAGGAAATCAATACTGCTACCACCTTGACTTCGACTTCCAGCTTTCAGAATTCTAGGGAAATATTCTGTTGCTGAAGCTATGCAGTCTGTGGCACTCTGCTATGGCAGTCCTCAGAAACTAACACACGACACTGCTAACACAGGAAAATGTCGCTGGAATTCTAGGTGAGAGTGAAATGCCCATCCAACTCTGCCTGTACCCAGAAACATTCTGTCTGCAGGTGAGCCTTGGGAGGACTCACCTGCACATGCACACACCCCATATTAGCTACAGTACTTGCCACCATTTTGCAGTGCTTATCACATGGTGGCTTTGAATACATTCCTCGCACCATGGTAGCAGGCCACAGGAAGGTTCCACTGTGGAGTGGCCAAGAGTAATCCATTTCCAAATGAAGAACTGATGGCCCGGAGGTTAAGTAATTCACACAGCAAGTAAATGACAGATCTGGGGTTTGCAGGCAGGCCCTGGCCTGATGGTGGTGAATCGGTGCTCAGAAGTCACCTCTGATGCCAGCAACAACAGGGCCCAGGCAAACTCAGATGAAGCTGACGGCAAGCTGGCTGCCCATGGAGGGGAGGCGCTAGTCTCCAGCATACAAGGGAGGAGAAGCAACGACAGTTCCTTCTTGGTTTCTTTGCCTCCTATCTGAACTCCTGCTTCACTGAATCACTGCGGCATCAAAACCCTCCAACTCTGGGTGGCTTTCTGCAACTCAGAGGAATTCTTCTACAACATCACTATCTAATAAACCCCATACTCAGAACCTTCCAACTGCTTCCGTTTTCCCCAGAGCAAAACCCAAAGGAGACCCACAAGGCCTGACATAATCTGCCCTGGCCTCCCCACACTTGTCTCCCGCCCGCTGCTCTCTTGTCACAGTTTTCCAGGCTGCACTGTCTGCCCTGCTCTGCCCTCTGCTTGCCCGCTTCCTGCAGGTATCTGTTCACAAGTCACCTTTATAAAAAGTCCATCCCTGGCAACTCTCCTCCATCAGCCTCTTCCCTTTACCTTCCTTCCTCCTCTCCACAGTGCCTGGCCCCAATATTACTTCCACTTGTGCACCCACTGTCTGTCTTTCCCCACTGCAACACCTCTGCGAGCCTTTTCTGTTGGTGCTGCACTAACCCTAAAGTCTGGACCAGTGTCTAACACTATGGGCTCGAGGAACCATGGATGGATGGGTGGCTTTATGGATGATACCAGAAACTACAGTAATAGAAAAATGCACACAGCAGAAACTGGAGATCAGGTACTTGAAGTATGTGAGGTACTTGAAGTATGTCACAGGAGGAAGGGAAGGTTAGTGTATGATCTGCAGGAAGGAAGGCTAAGATAGGGTCATCATGCTTCATATAAAGAGCACTTGGTGATCTGAAAGCGGGCTGTGTCACTATGCAAGGAACAGCAGTCCCTGGAGGACATATACATCAACTTGGGGGCTAGCTTGTACCCCTCAGGTCAGCAGTGAATTTCCTATGTCCACCCAAGAAAAAGCAGGCCAAGGGCCAAGGAAATGTTTAAATGAAATAACTTTAGGTTGTAATGTCAACTTTAAAGCTAAAAACTGTATACTTACAGTTCTGGGTTCAAAGGTATATAGAGCTCTGAAGACTTTAACTTGCCCTAAAAGAGAGGGAAAAGCAACATCTGATCAATTTTATCATTTCTAAATTTTGTTCTATATAATATTATCCTTGATATCCTTCAGTATTCCCTATTTAAAAGCCCATTAGATGAAGTTATCCTGAATTACATACCTTTTCCACATAGGATATATTTTTTAAAAACATTTTTTAAATGAATGCAAGAATAAATGCACACCTCTGGACTATGACTGCTTACCCCTAACAGCAGGAACTACATGACTATTTTTATTGTCTTATGTACAATCAGTTCTTCTAACCCTAAGATTTAAGTTTAAAAATATAAAGATAAGCCCAGATGATGGCACATGCTTATAATCTAGCACTCGAGAGGCTGAGGCAAAAGGACCACAAGTTTGAGGCCACCCTGGGCTCATAACAAGTTCAAGGCAGGCCTGGACTACACAGTGAGAGCTTGTCTCAACAAACAAACAAACACTCATTCACAGAGAGCTATATAAAAAGGTGACCAACTTAACATAATGAAAAATTTAATGTGAGAATCTACACTGGTTTAATGTTCTTAAATCAGTGAGATAGCATTTTATACTTTCCAAAAGAAAAGAAAACACAGTACCATGGAGGAAATAAACAACTTGCTGAGGAAGCCTGTGATTCCATTTAGTCTCCAAACAGAAGACACACAATAATGGAGCAAAGATGACCATAAGAGTGCCCTCCTCATTCTGCCTAACGCCTCTCTTCATCTACCCACCTGCAGCGTTTCCACAACACTGCACGATACCCACAGATCTGCCAGCTGATGTCCTGTGAGGGCAAGACTCCAACTTGTTCAACTTCCCAGCCCCAACATGTTTGTGAAATGAATATGTTAAGTACAAACACAAACAGTGTGAGATCTATAGAGAGCAAAAAAGAAAGAGGGCCTTTTCATGAACTAAACAGATTTAGAAAGCATGTTAAAATAAGACTATTCCCTTCAGTTGTGTTTCTCAGGTTTTTGGTGACAGTGACAAAAAGCTGATTAACACAGAAAGGCAGGTTCAAACAGTGATATGCCACATACGTCCTGTTTACATTAACCACACACACACACACACACACACACCCGTGAATGTCAGCACCACTTATGGGAGCCTGTCACATTCTACTTTACAGTATTGTTTACATTCTTTGCACTGAGCATGTAGGACCTTCATGATCTGTGAAAATAGCAATCACTTCCTGTGGGCCAGAGAGGAAGAATCAGTCCCTTTCCTCTAAACATCTTGATATAGAAGAGCAGCTCCCATCCTCTGTGATCTGGTGTGTCTATCAGACAACAATTCCTGCAATCTGAATTCTAGTGCCACATCTTTCCTGCTGGATTAAGGGAGGTTCACAGGAACATGTAAAAGTGAAAAAATTTTTTCTTTGTCTTCAGTATTTTTTTACGCACACCCACAGCTATCTGGAGAAAGGAAACACCAAACGGAAGGAGGCGCTGCCAGGAGAAATATTTTCTGCTGACTTGATTGTCCAAGAGAGGGGAGATTGCTTATCTTGATTGCTTCAAACTTCCCAAAGGGAAGTCACACAAGGAAGCAACCCTCTTGTGACCAAAATCAGTACTGACAGAACTTTCTCATTCCTTGGAGGGAATGGGAATGAGGAGATATGTGGCTAATTTTAGAACCAAGACCCAACGTCAACTTAATAGGCTGAGGTAAAATTCAGTAAAAGTTAAAGCAGCTGAAAACAAATATGTGGTGTGTGACTAAACTGCTTATTTTCATAACTGTGTCTCTAGTGATGGGCTTACTTAAACGCTCACAGCTGAAAGGAAGTGGACAGTTTATTTGCACGAAACAGCAGGCAACTCCTCACATTAAACAAAGGAACATTTTATTGGTGCAACCTTCTAGAAAATTTTTATATACATAAATCCTTTTATTGCTTAATATTGGGATATTAGCCTCTCGTGGATGCCTTTTAATATGTACATTATAAAAGTTCTGAGCTTTAATTCTTCCACTCTCAAAACTGAGTCAACTGTGAAGTAAAAGAACAGAAGCAGCTAGAAGTATGAAATGCACAGAAAAGCAGGGCTTTCGTGATTACGGTTTAACAACAATGCATATTCTCTCTCAAAAGAACAACGAATAGTTCATTCTCAGATCATTTTTATAGCACACTTAATTAACTCTGAGTACCGGTCCACAGGTCTTGTTTACAGATAGTGCCAAGGCGAACTTAGGGTGCTCTCTATTTCTACATTACTTTCCTTGCTGACATCTAAAATCGAGAAAACATCAGAACACATCATCAGGAACAAGCACGAAGCTAGGTGTGGTGGCTCACACCTGTCATCCCAGCACCTGAGAGGCTGAGACAGGAGGACTGATGCAAGTTCACAGTGAGTTCAAGGCCAGCCTGTACGACATAGAGATTCTATTTGAAAAAGCAAAACAAAACAAAATTTTAAAAATTGCAAAATCCAATAAAAATAACAAAGAAAAGAAAATTGAAAGTGATCTACTGCTTTTCCTTTTTTTTTTTTTTTTTTTTTGAGACCGGGCCTTGCTATGCAGCCCAGACTGGCTTAGAACTCGTGGTGATCCTCCTGCCCCAGCCTCCTGAGTGCTGGGATTACAGGTGTGCACCACCACACTGGACCTCAAGTTAATTTACAGAATATAAATTCACAGACGTTAAAGAGCTGTGTTCTTGTGTATGGAAGGAGGCTGGATTAGATACCTTTCAGGGCTCTCTCAGCCTGATCTATGATCAGGCTGGTTACATATGACAAAGACACAAGGAAGGGGGCTATGTGTAGACAGAGGAAATTCACCTGAGTGAAGGCCAGAAAGAGGGCCAGCCTCCCATCTGACGCTCTAGGTGAATGCTGCATGGACCAACAGCATGTTCATGGTGCGGCCTGAGAAGGACTTGAGGAGACATAAGCAAGACAAGCAAAGGCCCATGTCAGCACAGCAGCCGCAGGCACCCAACGCTGCTCATCTTGCCAGCCTTACCCTTTCCTTTTCTCACCAAGCCCATCTGGTCTTCCACAGAGAGGGGCAAGCCAGACCCTGTGTTTTCCCCTGGGGGAAGGCTAGACCCAGACTTCCATACCTGAAACCTATCTGTGGTGGGAGGGGCAAAGTGAAGGAAGGAATCTGGGACAGGGTCTTCTATAGGCACAACACAAAGAAATCTCCACTGCAGGGTACGGTCAGCGCACCTCCAAGGCCCTGAAACAGCACTTAGCTTGCAAACTCAATGTCAAATGTCCAATCTGCTTTATTCTGGGTTGGTGAAGAAGTGAGGAAAAGTTCCTAGAGAGAACCACCAAGACAGGGCAAAAGGGACCCTCACTATCAAGGAAAGACATACAAAGAAAAAAGCAAAGCGCTATGGGTTCAGCTCCAGCTGGGCAATTTAGAGACTTAGCAAGACCCAGTCTTAAAATAAAAAATAAAATGTGCTGGGGGTATAACTCAATGCAAAGGTCCTGGTTTCAATCGCCTGCACCAAAAAACAAACAAACAAACAAACAAACAAACAAAAAAGCATCAAAAACCAAACCAGTAAGAGGAATGACCATCCAAAATATCAGAGTGCAGTTATGTGTATTAGGCTGACCCCTTCACTGATCCCCTTGAGAATGTCACGAGGCATGAGGCATTTGAGAGAGGCTTCATTTAAGTGGGCTGAGGACTACTATATATTAGTATATGCTAACATGGCTGCTAAAGTCAAACATATGCAACAATGGGATAACTTAAGTTACATCCAGATAATGGAATAGCATTAGCACTAAAAAACAGATTAACAAGCCATGAAAAGATGGAGGAGACCTCAGTGCATACTACTAATCTGAAAAGGCTGCACACTGTATGATTCCAACCACGTGACATTCTAGAAAGGTAAAACTATGGAGATAGTAACATCAGTCGTTGTAGGGGTTGTTGAGGAGAAAGCAGTAGATAAATAAGTGAATGCAGAGACTTTCTGGGCAGTGAAACCACTCTACATGGTCCTATAAAGGTAGACATACGTGTCTGTCCAAACCCATAGAAGGCACAAGAGTGAACCCTAATGTAAAATATGCACTTTGGGCAATAACTGTACATCAGGTTTACTCACTGTAATATATGCATTATTATGACAGGAGCAATTCATACAAGGGGAGCTGGCTGTCATATGTAGGGGCATACAATATATGCAAGGGGCCAGGGATATAGTTCAGTGGCACAAGCACCTGCCTGGCAAGTGCAAAGTCCTGAGTTTGATTCCCAGTACCCACCCACCCCAAAAAAAATATATATGGGCAATCTCTCAACCAATCTCTGTGCTCAACTGGACTGTTAACTTAAAACTGCTCTTTAAAACTCTTAACAAGTTTTACATTTTGAACAGGTGTGGCAGTGCACATCTGCAATCCCAGCACTCTGGGAAGCTAAGGCAAGGAGTCCACAAATTCCAGCCCAGCCTGGGCAACTTAGCAAGGCTCTGTCGTCAAATAAAAAGTAAGAAAGGGCTAGGGATGTGAATCAGTGCAATCCTCTACACAGCACCAAAAAAAAAAAAAAAAAAAAGTACATTTGTAGCATTTAGGATTTGGGATTTTCAGATTAGGGGTGTTCAACCAGTAAAGTCTATGCAAATATTCAAAAAATCTGAAATAGGTTGAAATCTAAAACACTTCTGGTGTCAGGCAAGGGATATCCAAAATATTAAAAAATATATAAATAACACTAAATGTTAATAAAGATCGAGAACTACTAAAATTCTCAGACTGCTTGCAGGAATGTGAACTAGCACAGCCACTATAAAAAACTGTTGAGCAGTAGCATTAATTCATTTGTCACAAGGCTGAACATGCCTTTGAGATACTAAATTGGCTTTTGTTGAAAGAACATAACATCAGCACTGTTTGTAGGACTAAAATACTGCATACAAAAGTCTCCCCTTCCCAACTACCTCATTATTCCTGGAGTACACTGTCTCAACATTTTTCAAATGCAGGTCACGCCC